ATGCTCCAGTCTAGTGAATCTCATGCAAGGTGAAATATGTAACATGTATGCAGTATGACCCAGATTTAAAAAAAAAAAAAAAAAAAGTTTAAAGCATTGTATTTGTAATTTGTATCTACTAAAAACATGAACATATATTTAATGTGCAGTGCTGCTTTAGCTTAAAACTTGAATGTGCCACAGTTGTAATTAGAAAGATTTTTTTGTAACAATCAACTTTGTAAAAAATTTGATTTACATAAAATTGATCTTCATTACCTCTACATCCCTACAGCGCCGCCTCCTTGTGAGACTGGCAGGAACATCGGCGCCAAATGCACTATTTATGAATTATTGAAGAGAAAAAATGTCCTCGGAGATTTTCCATGACCAGGATAGGAGAACTACTGAAGAGCAAGCCTTTTCATTTTCTATGTTGCCATAAATAGCAAGTCATTAAGAAAATGGCAGGTGACGGGCAGATTAGGAGAGGCACAGCAGAGGAGATGTGTAATGGAGACAGTTGAACCTTACGGTATTCATCCCAGTCCCACTTATATCTCATTGACTTCATTCCTTGTCTTTGTTATTGTACAATAGCAAATCAGTTTTTTTTTTTCATCCTTATGGGTCTTTCAAGTATAATTGCAACTTAGACACAAAGCATCATGTGAGGTTTGGTTTCAGAGAACACATCCTGTGAAGGATATTTTTAAAAACACAAGTAAGAAGATACAACATCCATGACAAGCACATGGGTACTTGTAAAAATAATAATGTTTTTGCACACTGCTATAATTAGTTTGGTTTGTTTGTCTTTGCACGCTGAAACATTCAGTAAATATTCAACCGAGGGTAAGGTTGATAATAAAACAAGTTAGAAAAGTTCCTTCTCTCACTCCTATATGTTCGTGTGGAGGTATGCACATACGTAAAGTGCACATCTACGCACTAACATATACATATATATATATATAGCAGGGGTCAATGCATGTTTCGTTACTGTGTCAGAACAATGTCATTTCATATCTGTGCCACACTAAATCAAATCACAAATCGCTGCATCAGTTATTGCATTCACATTTTACCTTCTGAGCTTACATCTCTACATTTAAATCCTAAAGATCCTAAACGGAGTTATAATTGAACTTTTAATAGAAGCTATGTCTATTAGCATGTTTTTATGAAATGTAGTAGAAGATGTAATGTAGAAATCATGTGCTATTCATTACTTCTTATATGGATAAACAGATCTGGTCAATCAGGCTAATTTCCCCTACAGTATAATTTCTCCATTTCTGCTGTAACTTTCTGATGTTTACAATTTCTGCATTGTGAAATGTCGGGATGCAGCTGGTAATTGGTCTAGAGGTCAAATTGATTAACTAGTGCAGCAGAAACAATAGCCCATATGGGATACATAGTCATCGATGTAAGGAAAGTAATCTATTTTCTCTTGTCCACTATAGACACTAAGTGCCCAGAGGGTTTATTTGAATATTTTTTTTCTATGACTTAAAGTTTACATAAATGAAGAAAGTTTTCTAATATTGTGGGCTTTTGGGAAAAAGACATTTGAATATATTGAAGAAAACTTTAGATCTCATGTGCATTATCTCTTATTTACCCAGTTAGATGGTAATCCTGATGGCAGATGACAATTAAAGGGAACGTTCCAGAACTGTGATTTTTTGACTGTGTGCTGTGATACATTCCCAGTCTGGTGGGATTCCACTGTTGTGTTCTGCTCAATAATCCAAATCCTTTAAGTCCCACTCGGCCCACTTCAGTCCTTTGATTGCTCCTTTTATTTTTATTGCGTTTAACTCCATTTTTATAATCTGATGCACTGCACAGCATGTGCTAGGGAAGGAAAAGACAAGTGCCACACACTGTTCTCCTATGGTCATTCAGATTACAACCACTAGTCTTTAATCCGTAAAGATGGCTTTGTCTGTGCTTAATTTAAAATGAAAATTCTCAAAGTAATTTCTCTGTAGATGTTGTTCACTGCATGAACTTCAGTCAGTAGAACTGTATGTAACTCATAATAAAATGCATTAGTTATTCCACTCTCCTGCATACCTGTTATGCGTTAACTTAATTAGTTGCTAGTTAGTTTGATCTCACAGATGAATCCTCTTATACTTTTCCAGCCTTTTGTTGCCTCTGTCCCAACTATTATGGGACTTAGGAGAAGTCCCATAATTTCATTTCAAATCTGAAATGATATAGTTTAATTAATAAAATTGTAAAGTTTCACAGTTCAAACATTAGTTATATTTTCTAAGTTTTGGTATGAAAACAAATTTTGCTCTTGTGATTTGAAAATATTTTGTTTTTCATTTCATTCAACTTTCGATAATGCCCAACATTTCAGGAATTCAAGTTCTACGTAAAGTCAAACTTAGAAGTGGAATAAAAAAGACATTGAGACAACTAAATGAAGCCACAGCAAGTTTGAAATAAGCCTATTGATTATTTGAGAATTTTTTGAAGGAATCTGAAAATCACTTCCAAAATAAAAACGGAGCCAGTGCAGAGTTTTTGAAGTTGCAGTGATGTGAATCCTTTTGCTGGTCTCTAGAAGTGTTCGGACAGCATAATTTTAGAGTAACTAAATAATAATCAAACCAAAAGCTTTTGTAAGAAACAGTCAAACTTTGATGTCATTCTTCATCTTATCTATATTTCTTTTGCATCAGACAACACTTGCTTATGTTTTAAGAATATTTTAGCCACATGCTGTCGGTTTTCATTAAAGATCCAGCTTTAAATTTTTCATCCAGCATGACAGTAAATATTGTATTGCAATAATGCAGCTATCCTTACCAGTTCAAGTTTAGTGATGTATCCTTTACCCTGAATTTAGATGTTCTCTATAAATCACCCTACATTGATCAAGTGCAATGTTGGGTTTCTTTATTTCTGCTGTTTTGTGTGGAAAAAGATGAGAAACAAATAAATGGTAAAGGATTTATTCAAGACTAAATGGATTGAATACTATAATTATATATTACTCCGAAAGAGTTTTGGCCTTGTCTGTCAACTGCATCCACACCTCCTCGTCAAGCCCTCCTCCTGATTGCCTGATGCCAAGGGTGAGATATACATCTGTCTAATTTCTTGCTTGTCAGCCCACCATCTGGTACAGTATCAGCAATAAAGGCAGAAAAAATGCCTTCCTACTTTAGCCTCTCTCTCTCTCTCTTTCTCTCACTCTCTTCTACTTTTTCTTTTCTCTCCCTCTCTCTATCTCACTCTTCCTGTCTCTCTCTCCCCCCCACACCCCTACAGTGTAGAGCTGCTTACTAAAGTTACTGAGGTCAAATGTTGTGATGATGGTGAAGATAAACTTGGTCTTTCTGGTCTACTTTGATGGATGTTATAAAAATAAAGGAATCTCCCATGACTGCAACTCAGCCATCAACACTTTTAAATAATAAATAGCTGTATATTTCTGATGTTTTTAAAAGTATTGAAAAGTTATTATTAAACTAATAGTTATACTAGTGTTTTATGTAAAGGCAAACATAATAAAACACTGTCATAATTGAAAAACAAAAATTGCAATACTATATCCTTGCCCATTCTTTTTCATGCAAACACAATTTCTTCTTTTTTTATCCAAAGTGGCCATTGTTACTACCTACACCATCGTGATAAAAAGGGTCAAAGTTAAACCTTTACAGGATTCCCACTAAAGCATATGTAATGTTTGATTCATTGTGTCTACCCTCATCATCATCATTTTGAGTCCTAGCAACCAACTATCTTCAAATATTAAGTTATGAACACAAGCGTTTTATTAAATAACAGACCAAACATCAGTCATGTTTCTACTTCAGTCTGAATGTATGGCTTCATGTGCAGGGCAATGCAGTTTTGTGGGTACCACTATGCAAAACACTTATCTATGAGTAGCACATCAGATGTGCTTCATCACATATTTTCATACCCTTATGAAGAAAAATGTGTCTTTAACTTGTGCTGTATTGAGTTTAGTCACCTTAATGCAGGATTTTGTGCACCACAGGGGACTGACAATACCAAAGTTAATTTCTGATGGTGTTTCTTGATGTTTGTTATTGTGTTTACTTTCTTTGAAAAGTGACCTTTATTTTTATAAAATATGATTCTTATTACAACTCAAAGATATTATTCTGATTCAAAATGTATGTGTCAGTAATAAATTAAATGCATTTTCTGGGTCTATCTCTCCCTGTCTATTTATTTTCTCAGGTATTTTAATATTTTGCATTAATTTTCATAATTTTTTCAGTCTAAAAATGGAGACCATTCATGCACAAATCACCAGTGCTAAATATTAGCATTTTTTGACAGTTTACTGTTTTATTTGTTGTTTTTCCTGCCCTGTTTATTTTTTATTTTATTTTTTATTTTTTTGAGAGGGGGATGGGGGAGGGATTGTCAGGGGTCATTGCATTTTTGGCCACAGCCACCTCATCATATCAATTGACAAATTGCTTTAACTTTTTTACCATCTGAATTCAGAATGTTATGTGTAAATCAGCTGTTATTAAAATTTGCAATTGAGACTTCTTTTTAGAAACGAGTCGGTAAAGGCATTAGGAGTGGTTTAAAAAAAATCCCTTTGGTTATTGAGGCTTTAAACTATATGGTAAAATGCACAATCAAAGCGCTTTTGTGTGCAGGCCATGGGATACGAATGTACTTGTATGAATGTAGTGTAATTAGCATGTATGAAAGGCTCACAAAAAGAAAAACCATCTCATAACTGTTACGTTATTCACTGATGGCAGTAATAAAGAGCCAACATTGTTAATGACTGGATAATCTTGTGATGTTTTTTTTTTTTTTTGACTTGAAATGCATTGCTACAATATAGAGGGAAGTGAGAAAAATGCTACATAACCTGATGACAGCATGTCTGCTGAAGATGAAAGCCCTTCTACTCACTGGGTGTTATATACAGGCAGACACTTACACCTACATTTCCTTGTAATGTGGCTTTCATTAAACTCCTAATTCTCTTACAGGTGACAGAGACACGGACAGGGCCGCTAGGATGCAGCAGCTATGACAATTTGGACTTGGTTAGCTCGATCCTCCTGCAGAGCCCTGAGAGCAAGCTTCATCTGCAAGGTAAACAAATCAAATATAGCCCCATGCTTTCTAAGGATGTTGGACATCAGAGGGCAGCAGGCTGTTAAAATTAAAGGAGATCTATAGTTACACATGAAGTAGGAAAATGGTTTGTGGTTGCTGAAGAATTGAATGTCAATGCACTTTTTAATTGGCACTGGGTTTGGAATAGATTTGCTCCCGAATCCCCTCTGGGGGATTGCAGTACAATTTTCTGGTTATAGATGTCTGCTCGTGTTCTAATGTGATTGTGTTCCTAAGTCTTCCTTAAAGCGCTGATCAAAGACAGGCCTAAAACAGTTCTTTCGGTTTCAGAGCTGAAACTCTATATAAAGGTGTGGTGCATGCAATCAGTGTAAAACATTGCCTGTCCTATTAATTCTGAGCCACATTCTGATTATCTTATCCAGTGAGCATATTATGTAAGTCACTGTCAAAGATTTTCTAAGTTGGAAAGTAAAGAATTTGCATTCAACTCACTGGGTGCAGCAGAATTTAAGCAACAACCTTTACTCATTAATATGCTGTTCTCAAAAAAAACTTGTGTTTTAAAGAGGCAGCATAATGTAATTTTGCCTAGTGCCATATTTTAGAATAATCAAGTGATGATGATGTAAAGCTCAAAAAAGCTGATTTCATGTAACACTGTCCCTTTTAACAGTGATACAGTCACAATAGAAATCACAAGAAAAAGAATCACATGCAGTGACAGGCACTTAGAGGGAAAGGAATGACAGTTTTTAACACCGATGTTTGATCCATTTGTGTAGTCAAGTTTAGATACATATTAACACAAATTCCAGAATCACAGAGACTTCTCTTTAATCCACACACCTCAGAGTTTTACTCTAATGTGGTTTGTCAAAGAAACACTTTTAGGTCTTTGAGTGCCACTTATTCTAAGCACTCAATATGTTTTTTTTTTTTTTTTTTTTTTTCAGAAAAATGAAAGAAAAAGCTTTATTGTCAAGCATCAAATCTATTAGCATTACATGTCAAAGAATTTTTGGCACCCAATTGACAGATGACAGAGTAAGGAAAGCTGTTTTTTTCATTTTATTTTTTATTTTTATTTTAATTATTAAAATTCTTTGGGATAATATACAAACAAGAGAGGAAAAGCTTTATGAGTTGGTTTCCAGCTAAAGATTTTCTACTTGGAACCAAAATCTGCTTGTTAGTGAGGTGCAAGGATGAACAATAAGAGATCTCCTTAAAACGCGTTTTTAAGAGCAATTATTCCTGTCATTAATTACAAAGACAGCTGATGGTGTAACTTGCTGAACGATAATAGTGCTCTTCAAAGTAATACACTTCATACCACTGATGAAGAGGTACATAAACAATGATGAGCTTTTAGGGTTTTTGCTGCCAAATAGATTTCTAATTACTTCCAGTCATCAAAAACATCTTACAGTTCTTTGGCATTAATGTAGATATAAGTGCTGGTCTTCATTTTATCTCTTTGTGAAGCATATCCTCTGATAAAACTGCTGAGCTATATTTAGCACTGGTTATTGTGGTTGGAATTGTTACATTTAGTTTTTTCCACTATTGGTTCTATAATCAAATACATGAATAAAGTGAATTAATTGGTGCTGCTTAGAAGCACAGTTTGGAGTTTCCAATGAAGCTCGTTCACTAAGACGGACTTTTTTGATAACGAATACATTTTGTTTTTAGGAACATAATTTTTTGTCTGATGTTCTTAAGCTGCATTCAGTGACATACAATCACAGCACCACAAATAACAAGACTCATAAATGTCTAGATATTTGTTACTGTTTTAGCAATATTACAACAAATACCACAAAATATTGAAAAAAAAATATATTTCCATTTCTAATTTTAGTTTGCCCCTATATGTAACACCATAAATTCAAAACTAGATTGTGAAAAAAAGTGACCTCAACTTTTTTGTGGTGATAAATATAATAAATTTTGACATTTCTATCAAACGTTTTATAGTCCACAAGGATTCTAATCTAATGAGATAACATGTACAGGTTTTCTACAAATAAAGAGAGAGTTAGGATTTAATGTAAGTAAATGTTTTAGGTGGATTGATTCAGGAAGAAATAATAGCTTTGTTAGTTCACAAATATTTTTAAACATCTAGAGTATTTATTTTGCACTTTTCGATTTTTAAGTGAATGTCAGGATGTGTGTTCCTTTTTGTTGAGCTATATTTTAAAAACACGGAAGATAATAGGTCACTTTTGCTTCTCCTATCACCAGAATCAATACAACATTTATTCAGTAGACCAAACAAGTGCCTTCTTTTATATCGCACAAAGCATTCTTGAAAACATTAGGTCCGATGTTACAATTACAGAGACTCTTTTCACTGCCTTCACTTAAACTGATGAAGAGCTGAGAAGAAATTGGCCCAAGATAAAAAAGTCAATTGTTCCATTCAAAAGATACATTGACAGGCTGCTTTTTGAATGTTTTGCACTGAACAAAGTGAACTTTAAACAAAATGAGCAAATACGATAATACTTAAAATTTGGAACTACCTCTGGACTTCACAGTGGTCCCATCTTGACTACATTCCATTCATACAAAAACACTAACAGGTTTATTGTGGCCCCTGACTGATCTTTATAGCCAATGCCAAGAAATAACAGCTTTGACAGCATTGTCCTCTTTGACTACAGAGCATAAATGGACTTTATAGACTTTCCCTTGAGAGAGACAGAAATGGCTGGGCCCTGTGCTACTCTAATAAGCTCGAGCAGCTCTCAGTGCTTCTAATGAACACCCACCATGTGTCTCATTTACAAATGCCTATTGACCTTTTACCAGACAATTAGCTAAAATGCTAACTTTTGGCATTTAAACTGTAGGGAGGAGTCACATCTGGCCAGTGTGATCATTCACACTGGCCAGCAGCAACTTCTAATGTGAAGATGTGTTTTTATAGGGATGACTAAATGTGTCATATTTGCCAAATATGACATATTTGGCAAATATGTAGTAGTAGTAGTAAAAGAAAAACAAAAATAACAACAAAAGGCAAAAACATGGAGAAAGATTAAGATACATTCAATGAATATACCTGTATTTATAGGACCAACATTCTGATGTTCTATTTTGTGACATTTAAAATTTGCACTTATCATAAATATAGTTCACTTCATATAGTAAATATTTTGTTTTGACCTACCAAATACATGCATTTGTTTCAACTTGTGGTTTGGCATATTAAATCAAATATTTCATGCATGAACATAAACTCTTAAAACTAACAGCTTCTAATACTGCTTTTACAATATTGAGAATCTGCATTTTAATTTCATTGAAGAAGAAAATATACTGTGAACACAAATTCAAAAATTCCTTCTTACACATTTCTTCCTGCAGCATACATATTTTGATCGCTTGCTGAGCCAGGATGCTATGGGACAAATTTAAAATTGAGACAGTGGTCTTCAGCTACTTTATATTTCAATAAAATCTTTATTTTAACTAATCTACTTGAAACATGTTACCTTTTTCAATTTCTCAAAAGATACAATCGAGCTGTAAAATTGCTACCTTGTTCTCTGATCTCTATACTCTCATTTATCTACATTAATTATTTAACAGATTTGTGTGGAGTTATTATTATAGTTATTGTAATTTTAAAAAGCGGTTTTGCACTGCAGAACTAAATGTTCAAGTTTGTCTAATCCCAACCCGAAACTGTTCACCAGAAAGTATGACAGTATGAGTTTTGTTATGAATGTTGCTAAATAGGCAGTAAAGGGCTACTGAAATTTGCAGGTTAGAATAAATAATGAAATTAAATGACTTTATTATTCATAATCAATTTCCTTGTTTTATTCATAATTATTCTGGTCTTTAAAAATATGCTTGTTTGACCTCATTGTTCAGGTAAACAGTAAGGAAAAAATTTAAAAGTCTCCTTTTGCAGTCAACTTTATGAAACAGCTATTGAGGAATAATATTTAGTTTATGCAGTTTTCTTTTTCTGCTTGAGGAATCCTCAAGGCACGGTTAGTCCCTAATAAGTTCCATTGTGACTGATCATTATATTTCTTTCCTTTCTTCTCTATTCTCTTGTTTTTTTTTTGTTGTTTTTTTTTCTTTGCTTTTCTTCTTCTACCATTTAAGTCTATGACAACCCGAGTGAAAACTTGCTACCCTGATTTAGGAGAGTTTTCTGATTCTTTTCACCCTGATGTAGGCTTTTGCCTCCAGCACTTTGCTAAGAAATGAGACTATGAGATTCATAGATGCTTTTTGGACCAAGTTTAACAAAGTTTCCTGACTGATTCAAGATTTTTAAGCCTTTTGCACAGCAGTCAAGCTCTTCCATTAACACTGGTGAGAGACTGCAGAACAGGCTGTGTTCCAACGAGTCAGTTGCTTGATGAATAGAGCAACACTCCAACTTAACGTTGACAGACACAAAAGTATTTTTGACCATTTGAGTGCGATGAATCAAATACTAATGCATTTCTTTTTGTCAATACTTAGAGCCACACATAAAGTTTCCATGGTGACACTTCTCAGGCTATTTTATCTCCTTAAAGCTTTTGCAGCAGCATTCTCTGGTCACAGAAACTATTTTTTTTTTCTTTACTGTAATACTGATACTCATTTTTCCTGGACTGCCGAAAAAGGAGAACTTGAAATATAATAAATCTAGTCTTTCTAATTGCTCATTTATAAAGAAGGATCTTATTGGTATGTTAAAATCACGAGTTACAACAAGGATGCAAAATGTCCCTAGATTTATTCCAGTAATTAAACATTTAATCATGGTGTTTTAGTTTTGCTGGTTTGATTTTTTATTATTGTCATTATATTTATTGTTGTTGTTGTTGTTGTTGTTGTTTTTGCTGCAGTTTGTTCACCACATGAGACTCTAGAGCTATGGTGTGAAGTATTTACTAATGCTCACTATGATCAAGCTTTTCTATCCTCAGTGTGATGGAATTTGGTGTGGAAATACCACATACAGGACTTTGAATTAAAAGGCAAGACATAAG